TCTTTGGCTGTCTTGCATAAACTACACATCTGAGATCTCCCCAGAGTGGCTCAATGATATTGAGGTCAGGAGACTGAGATAGCCACTCCAGAACCTTCACTTTATTCTGCTGTAGCCAATGACAGGTCGACTTGGCCTTGTGTTTAGGATCAGTGTCATGTTGGAATGTCCAAGTACCTCCCATGCACAGCTTCTGGGCTGATGAATGCAAATTTTCCTCCAGTATTTTTATCTTGCCATCAATTCTGACCAAATTCCCTGTGCCTCTGTAGCTCACACATCCCCAAAACATCAGTGATCCACCTCCGTGTTTCATAGTAGGAATGGTGTACTTTTCATCATAGGCCTTGTTGACTCCTCTCCAAATGTAGCCTTTATGGTTGTGGCCCAAAAGCTCAATTTTGGTCTCATCACTCCAAGTGACTGTGTGCCAGAAGTTTTGAGGCTTGTCTCTGTGCTGTTTGGCGTACTGTAAGTGGGATTTGTGGCATTTGTGTAGTAATAGCTTTCTTCTGGCAACTCGACCACGTAGTCCATCTTTCTTCCAGTGCCTCCTTATTGTGCATCTTGAAACAGCCACACCGCATGTTTTCAGAGAGTCCTGTATTTTACCTGAAGTTATTTGTGGGTTTTTCTTTGCATCCCCAACAATTTTCCTGGCAGTTGTGGCTGAAATTTTAGTTGGTCTACCTGACCGTGGTTTGGTTTCCACTTCTTGAGTAGTGCTTGAATACTGCTGATTGGCATTTTCAATTCCTTGGATATCTTTTTCTATCCCTTTCCTGTTTTATACAGTTCAACTACATTTTCCCGCAGATCCTTTGACAATTCTTTTGCTTTCCCTGTGACTCAGAAGCCAGAAACGTCAGTACAGCACTGGATGAAAGATGCAAGGGTCTGTCAGGAGTCCAGAAACTTGACCTTTTATACACACACACTAATTACAAGCAAACAGATCACAGGTGAGGATGGTTACCTTTAATAGCCATTCAAACCTCTTTGTGCCCACCTGTGTGCATGTTATCAGCCCAAAATTACCAGGATATGTAAACCTTTGATCGGGGTCATTTGGGGAGTTTCTGTTTTAATTATGATTTAAAAAGAGTAAACACAGTTGATTGAAAATAAAACGGCTTCAGCCAACCACTAACCATGAGTGAAATAAAAGTTTTTGTGTTATCATTCATATTCTCTGAAAAATGGCTAAGAAATCATAAATTCTGCCAGGGTATGTAAACTTATGAGCACAATTGTACATTTCAGACAGGTTTTCTGAGAAAGCTTTGGAATGGTCCTTATTCTCCCAAGCTCTCCCCTGTTAAACCACCTGGTGGGAAGCTGATACTTTAACTGTCATGTAAAACAAGAGGCTGGTCTCTCATTCTTACATGTTACCTGTTCTTGCCAAATTCGCTTTACCACCCTGCCTACACCAAGCCATAAAACTCTTGTCCATATTCATGTAAATGGAACAAATTAGTTTAGTGCCCTAGAATTACCTGCTTCCAGGTAAGTACATTTTAAAAGTGTGAGAAAAGCATTGATAGTTTGTAAAGGAATGTATGCTATGGAAGGTAAGTTTTCAGCTGGCAAAAGGTCTGCTCAGCTATCTCTAGAATTCCATTGGATGGACTTTCATACCCCATACCTCTTGCTCAGCCCTCTCTTGTGTACCCAGCCCCTATGGGTGAGAGATCTAAACTACAGGATCATCACGGAATGCGCCCATGGCGTGGGGTAGAGATTGGTTCTTAACTTAAAAACTCAGAGCATAGCACAAATCCGAGGAACGTGCTCAGAGGACCTTCTGCTCTTCTTTTGCTTCGTTTTTCCCTCCTTCCATCTTCAGTGGAATCTACGTTGTGATGTTAACCACCCAGGTAGGAGGGTTGGTTGCAGCTCCTACCTAAAAGTTTCTTCTTTGTTCTCCTATTGCAGCAATTTCTTTGGCTCGCAAACGGATTAAATGTAGATCCCGCCGCTTGCCCTCTCCATTTCCAAGGGGGTCACAGCAATCTTATCATGGGGTTCAGATATGATTTTTTGGTTTCATTCATGGAAAATCCAGTTTTGATTCTTCTCTTCCTGATTTATTCTGCCACTTTTTGTTTGTTAATCATTTGCCTTTTGCTGAACTAATTGCCTTTTGCTTTTTTTCCCCTTCCGTTTTGTTCCCCTCCCCTGCTCTTATGTGGGTCTTGGTCTTTTTTCCCCCTTCCCTTTTTTCATATTTTTTAACCATCATTTTCTGCTCCATCTCCTCTTCCAATTATTGCCTCTTCTCCTTATATTTTTTTTAATTTCTTCCTCTTCTTTGTTCTGTTCTTCTTTGGTTCATCTTTCCTTCCTCTGTAGGAACCTCAAACCACCGTTATCCATAACCCAGTGGACAGCATTAAGGTACTGCTGCCTGTCTTTCCTTCTCCTCAGTTTTGCCCTTTTTGTTATCTTGGATAAAAATTGACTTTTTTTTTCTGCTCCTTGCATTGCTGTGTAATTTCACCTCTGGGGACAGACAGTAGGCTCTTGTGCCTTTTTCCGTATGCCCCAAATCCTGCAACCTAGACTCTAATCCTCTGGCCTAATTAAGGGTGGGAGAAGAGGGTTGCCTTTTGAGGTATTATAGAAAGCACAAAGTTACAACTGCAGCACTGTTTTGAAAAGTCTGGCTTTCTTGAAGAATCACAAACATTAGACTTTCTACTATTTGAGGAGAAAGGTGAAGAATTTCCCTGACTCCCTTGCTGGTGGTATGTTCCCTACATTTTGTTCCAGGTCTTTTAGGCTTACAAAGAGGCTAATGAAGGTGGTTCAGAGTGAGCAGATGAAATTGAGAGGGGAAAGTTGATAGTCACTTGTCACCTGGAACTAGATCTTCTGGAGGGTGGGATTGTCCTTCATATCTGTTTTCTCCTGTTCTGGTCCTAAATGTTTTGAGACTGCTAGTTTGGGTTACTGCAGTCTCCACACAGATCGAGAACTCGAGATGGGGAAGGTTGCTTCCAGATGGGGGAAGAACTCAAGATGGGGGAGACAACCTTCCCACCTTGAGCTCTCCATCTGTTTGGAGACTCCCATAATCCCAACTATACTCTTAACTGAGTGTTTTTGTGCTGCGGGATAGGATAGGGAAGAAAGCCTCAACTCTGACCCCAGAGCTCCTTCATGCTCAAGTGAAAGAACGCAGCCAGGCAGACCAAAGAGAGATGTCCCAGGAGGCTGGATGGTCTGAGGACCAGCATAGTTGCTCCATGTCACAATCATTCATTATCGGTCCCAGCCTTCACTTTCACCCAGACCTGCATTTTCTTAACCCATTCTTTGCTGCAGGAGCTTTAATTTTTTATCATATTTATGCTACCTCTTCAAGCCCATTCACTCAGTGCATCTGACATAGCCTTAAGAAGAGAACCAGATGGATTTTTGTGTGTGGGTTGGCTGTTTTTGTTTTTTTTTAAGTTAAATCTGATAGAGGCTGGTCAAAGAAACTATGTTAGTACCAACCTCCCCATTTATTTATCTTTTCTCCTGGACAGAATATTTCCTGGTTTAGATGAATTTTAAGGAAAAAAAGGATAATGTTTTTCTAATTATACTACTTGTTTTTTTTAGAGGAAGTAAAATCATAAGTCTGGGGACTGGTACCCAGACATATCAAATTATATTGGGATGAAGAATCTGGGGTGATTATGTTGAATATGGGGCTTTGACTTTCTTCCAACTGGGCAATAAATGGAGGCTACTTAGGTCTTCTGTTTATATTTACAATTACTTCTAGCATATATTCTTTTCTGCTTGCAAATGTTTGGGGAGGAAAATCCTCTCATGTTAGAAACATAGCTTTTTTGTCATGAGGGAGAGCAATCATTTTCTTTGAGGTGTCGCAGATAACGGAACTGTTTTAAAATGTTATCATAATGTTAAATCTATTCTGTTTTTGACAAATGAGATAGGTGAGATTGTGTTCAAAAGAACTTTGTGAGAATATCGCATTTGCTGCTTTTATTGCATTTGCTTCTCCCCAGCAACAGGGACTCCAGGCAATCTCCAAGAATCAGACACAATTGAACAGAAAGGGAAAAAGTAGTTAAATTAATATTAATTAATGTAATATACATTTTTATAAAAGGTTCATGTCTTAAAAAACTAATTCTGTTTGGAATTTGGAATTCTTAAATTACTCTTAATAGAATGTAAGGGATAAGATTCTATTCTATGCAGGCCTCTTAATCTAATCAATGGCATTTATTTCCAAATAAGCCATACTTTTGGGAAGAGTAGTAATATCTGTCCCCAAACCAGCTCCACACCTTAAAGGATATTTAGCATAGCATCTTACTTGCTCAAGCTGAACTGCCACTGATCACCTTGACAGTCTGACAAGTCTTAATTCTAGAATAACATTCTTTGATGAGATGTTTATGAGAAATGAGACCATTCTTATAGTTATGAGCCGGTCCATAATCCTGCAAACAAGAGTAAGTTTATATCATGACAGATACTCCAGTAGTAAATAGGGTTTGGCACAACTACTGGGAGACATAATTATCTCAAGTCTAGGTTCACCCATATGTAGAAGCAAATGTCAGTTGTGCATTTTTTCCCTTGTTATTACAGTTGATCCACACTGCAACATTAAACATGGGACTTCCTGCTCAATTCTGCATGAGAAGTCTCTATCAATCTTAATAAAGATGAGATTTGAGTTCCTTAAGAAGCAAGAAAAACCAAGCCAACTGCAATTTCGTTTTTTAAGTTGGTATAATTGGTGAACCATCTCCCTAGTTTTCTTGGGGCAGATACTTCTATATTGATTAATATGGTGATTTATTGTTATGTGAAAAAGGAGACTTTTGAGTATCCCATGGTTTCTTTTCTAATTTATCCAGATTCTCTGGTCTCAAGTTGTACATCTTTCACTATCTCCTCAAACACCTAATTATGGCCAGAGCTGCTAACTTTCTGTTTTCTTTTTCTCCTACTCCTATTTGTCTCCACAGGAATCATCGGACAGCACAAACACCACTATAGAGGATGAAGATACGAAAGGTAACAAATTTAAGGAGTTGGCCCAGAGGTTAAAGGCTTGACATCTGTAGAGTTAGTTATTTTGCTTGCATACTCCTGATTGTCTGTGCACTTGACTATAAATGGAATATTGGAAGCTGTAGCAGTTTACATAGGAGAAATTGATAAATGCAGACTCTGTTTTAGACCATAGCGAGAAAGGAAGTTGTGGGCAAATGGAAAACAGATATGCATGTTCTTGCTTGTTTGATGAATCCTGGCTTATTATGAAGGTGTTGTACTCCAATGCTTGCAGGCTGCTGACTCTTGCTGCTGACAATCAATCTTCAAGGATACTTGAGAAATGTTGCCTTTGTGAAATCTGTATTTGCCATAATTACTGGTGTTTTATTTTAAGTGGTAATTCAAGTCTATGCTCAAAACCCTACCTAACTTAACCCATACTTACCACGCCTCTTTTTGAATAACGCATTCAAAGAAATGAATAAGCAAGATAGCATTGAGTGGTGCGGTGGCCTAGAGGTGGAGCTCTTGCCTCACAGTCAGGAGGCTGTGAGTTCAATCCTAGGTAGAGGCAGAGATTTCTCTCTCTGGGCATACTGAGAATATATCTGCTGAATAAACCTCTGCATTGGTGACAGGAAGGCATCTGGCCAGTAAACACTCAGCTCCATTCATAACACTTACTCCACCCCGCAAAGGATTATGGGGTGGTTAAAATAGGATGATGAATAAGCAAGATAGAATGAGTCAGTTTTGTCTACCAGAGGGAAGATCAGAAAGCAATATAAAGCTTTTGTGATGTTTAAGATACTGTATACTTTGCTCCATCGAAACAACCTGAATATTGTAATTCCCCCTCCAATCATGATGCCACCAGCATTGCCCACAGGATCTACAGGAAAGGTGCCATGAAGGTATGACTTTGGGGTCCAACAAGATGACATTGTATGACAAAGGGGACATGAAACACTCCCTGCTAGATATAGTGGGATGAACAGAGATGTTCATAAGTAGTCATAAGTAGTCTTGTAAATAGTTCAGTCCTATGCTGTGTAGGAGTTTTATAAATGATAACCTTCACCTTCAGTTGCATCCAGAAGCCTACTGGGGACACAGTGCAGCTCACAGAGTAGTGTTGTGATATGAATGCATGGGAAACCTGAAAAACTGCTTGCATTGTTGCCTTCTGAACAAGGTGCAGCTTCCAAATGCTCTTCAAAGACATTCATGAAGAGTATGTTACTGCAATCCAAACTGGAGGTAACTAGGGTGTCAATAGCAATAGCATGCAGACTTATATATTGCTTTACACCCTCTCTAAGCAGTTACAGAGTCAGCATATTGCCCCCAACAATCTGAGTTCTCATTTTACCCACCTGAGAAGGATGGAAGGCTGAGTCAACTTTGAGCCAAGTGAGACCCGAACTGCCAAACAGCTGGCAGCTGGTGATCAGCAGAAGTAGCCTGCAGTACTGCATTCTGACCACTGTGCCACCGCAAATCACTGTGAACAAGACCTTCTTGTCCAGGAATGGGCACGAATGGTGCACACGTCAACCAGTGCAGAAGTTTCTGAACTATAGCAATAGCACATATCACTTCACGGTGCTTTACAGACCTCTCCCAGCAGTTTACAGAGTCATCATATGACCCCCCAACAACCTGGATCCCCATTTTACAGACCTTGAAAGGGTGGAAGGCTGAGACAACCTTGAGCCACTCAGAATTTAACTCCTGGAGTGAACAGTGATTTAGCCCTGCAGTACCACTGTGCCACCACAGCTCCACAGATACCTTTATGTTGGAAGAGAAAGGAAGGAAGGTTGGATTTGTATTATTTGGGTTCAAGACCTACACACACACACACACACACACACACACACACACACACACACACACAAACAAACTGGGGGAGATAGTACTCTTTCAGAGTAACCTTAAGCTTTCTCTTCTGTCCAACATGTAGCTGTATTTCCTATGTATGCCCTTGTCAACAAATAACTTCTGTTTTGAAGCATAACCTTTTATATTTAGTAAAGCAGAACTTCAGATTAATTGCAGGGGCTGGTGGACACCTGCTATAGCATTGGGGTCAAATTTTGTTCCTTGACTAATGGGGGTTAATTTGTGTAACATAGTTCTGCTGTAATGTGTGCATGGTCTACATGTGTGCTAGACTGGGCTTGTGTTTTCTACAAGACTTGAATTAAGACTTAGTCAGCTTGCATTTTCCCAGGGAAAAATATGGGTGCATGACTAGACATGTGACTTCTAGTGCTATTGAGCAAAAGGCAGAGGAGACATTCTGAAACCCAAGAGGTGATAGGAGAACTCAGAAAGACCATCCTCGGGGAAAGCTTTGTCATATCCCTTTGCCTCGTGTAACCTTTCACAAATGAGGGATGAAGATTACATGACACAAGTCTTGTCTCAAAGCTTTGTGGTTGCAGAAAGAATGTGCATCTTTTTGTAACATTCACTTTCTCCATAGATTGTTCAAACTGTCAGTGCCAGGATAGAGCTAAGAAATATGTGATGCCCTGATACTTAAATTATGGTCCCAGATCAATGTGATCAGTAGAAATGAGTTTAGAACCTAAGAAGACCCAAGCTAAGTCTAATCTGTTACTTTATAAAGAATCAGAATCATTCTTTATTATGGTCACAAACCAGCACAAAAGTTAAACATTAAAATAAATTTGTTACATAGAAATTATTGGAAAATAACTAAACAAAGTATTAATATGAATAAGGATCTTTAGTTCTTTGTGTGTGTTTTCCTTATTATCATTGCAGCAGCACACAATTTTGCTACTGCACAAATGGTGGCTGGATTTGAATCCTGGAGGAAAAGGTTCACGTAGAAATTATCTGATCTCCCTAGAAATCTCTCTAATAGAGGGAAAACATACGTTGATCTGATGTCACTGTCAAACTTGCAGCACAATAGGACATGTGAAATATCTTCAATTTCCCCATTGCCACATGTACACATTTGCTCAGCTATTGTGGTTTTATCATTCCTGCCCTGCAGGAGTGTTGAGTGGAGGATATTAAGTCTGGCTGTAAAAGATGCTGTTCTACTCTTAGGAAAAGTCAGGTCTTTCGGATACCTTGCTGGTTCCCACACACCCCATTTAATCTGATTTCTTTTGTGGAGAGATATCCTGTTAGGTTCTAGCTGGGACTCCACAACTCTTATTCTTCGGGTAACCACTTGCTTGGCTTGATTGTAGCCTTGGGATATTAAAAACAATGGGGGAAAGTCCATTGAAGGCCAGTTTATGCTCTATTGCCTGTTTCCAGAGAGAGGGAAAGTTGTCTATTAGGACTAAAGGGTTGAAGCTCTCTGGGAAGAATTGAATTTTCAACCAGTACAGATACCTTGTAAAAAGTCCCTACCCAGGCAGGACATGAATGAAATCAAACTTTCCTGCTTGTCATACTTGGAAGTATGTTGCCTCTATGTTTCACTGTATCTTAATTCCATTTCCCCAATCTTTTTTTTCTATTAAAATACATTTTACTTTCCCATTCTGTGTCTCCTATTTTTTTCCTTTCACCAAAGGTTTCATTGTTCTTTGGATTTTTTTTCCTTTCTGTCTTTATGGTGTTTCTGTTTCTTTTTCTACTCTTTCACATTTTCCCCAGTTAAAAGCACTGATAATGAGCTTGTAAAAAGTCACGTGAATTCAGGATCTGCCCCTGAACTTCCTTCCAGCCTGCAGACATCTGTCATCTCATCTGCTGCTGCTGCAATCACGGCTGCTTGTAAGTTGCAAGGCCCCAATGTTGGTTTATCTGTTATTTATCTATTTGAAAGATTTATAGGACTGCCTATCTTAAGCAACTCTGGGCAGCTTACAATAAGATGTTCCCCAGTTCCACCTTCCATTGAAGACCCCTAATTATAAGCCTTCAGCCATGAGTTTCATTCAACTATGGCAACAAGCCTGATTTCCTATTTGAATGAACGTGTTTAAACCTTTAATTCTGTCATCTCTTCTTCTTTGATGTGCCAGAGTTTGACAACATCCACTCTGGATGGACCTTTAAGCTGTGGCTAGATTGAGTAATGATTTTGCCAATTAATCTTCAGTTCTGGCTGGATCTGTGGCAATCATGGCTATAGAAAATCATGGTTCCTGAATTCAGCTTCACAATGCCTGTAATTATTTTAACCAAAAAAAGAAGCTGATTTCTTTAATCTTGCTTGCAAATTTGGTAGAAGTCCAAATCCCTAGGCCTCTTATGGGTTCAGCCATATAGAAGAATGATTACAAAAGAACAAGATATCTGCAGTGCAGGAAATAAGTACAGTAATAGTTGAACTTAGAGAAAGTTCTTTCACCTTAACCCTTATTCATATCCATGTAACTTTTAAGTCATTTGCTTCAGTGATGCTAGGAGAAATTTGATTTAGAAAGCCATAACTAAGTACTGTAGATAAAAAAACAACAACAACACTTGGTGCATTGGTTAAAGGATTCTTTGCATCTTTGAGTCATCTTTTCAGATTTTTTTTTTCTACCTCACTGTTACTTTTCGTTGTCCTTCCTTTATCTTCTCTCTTTCCTTCCTTCTCTCCCTCCCTCCCTGCCTTTCTCATTTGTCCTGTCTCAGCCTCCAAGCTCTCTGATGTATTAGGCCTGGTGAAAAAAGGATCAGGTACCCTTGTGGCTGAAGACCCAACACATTCTTCACCCTGCATATTACCAGCTATTGCAAGCCCCCTCCCTCCCCAGTGTAAGTAGTGTGTGAGTGCTAGGCTGTGCAGAATTCAATTGCTACGTAGCTGAAAAAGAGTGTTGCTAGAAAGCATTTGTGGCTTGTTATTAAACCAGATCTTACATTGCTTTAATGAAATATAATGAATGCATTCTTGGCTTGGATTTCATTAGCAAAGATTGTATGATCCATTTGAAAGTCCTGCAAAGTTATAATGTCAAATTATACTAAATCAAAGGTCTACAGTGTGATTAACTTTTTTTAACCTCAGCAGGAAAACAAATATTAATGCAACAAATTAAAATATTCCCAAATATGGAAAATTCTTGTAGTTTTAGAGATGGAATAAGAAATAATAATCACAACAGGCTGAAGTTCTGGATTTCCACATAGCTAGAGAATTCTAGAGCATCTGAAAAGGATGCCAAACATATATAAAACATACAATGAATGGTTGCAAGAACTGGGTATCTGTAGTCTAATGAAGAGTAGGACTAAGGGTGACTTGATAGCAGTCTTCCAGTATTTGAGGGGCTGCCACAGATAGGACGGGGCCAACCTATTCTCTAAAGTACCTGAGTGCTAAATAAGAAACAGAGGGTGGAAACATATCAAAGAGAGATCCAACCTAGAACTAAGAAGAAATTTCCTGACAACGCGAACAATTAAACAGTGGAACAACTTGCTTCCAGAAGTTGTCAATGCTCCATCATTGGAGGTTATTAAGAAGAGATTGGACAACCATTTGTCCAGAACGATATTCTATCTTCTGTTTGAGCAGAGAGTTGGTCTCCACAGCCAGGGTCCTTCTGTTATACTGTTATTGCTCTTGTCCTGATGCGATTCTCTAATATTTTTCAACTCAACATTTTAGAAATTTTCTTCTCTTCCCTACTCCTTTTTTTTTTTTGCCCCAGCTGCCTGGTTCTCCGATGTACGAGGCCAGGTGAAATAGAATTCTCTGAAGCAGAATAACCAAACATTTCTATCATTTTGCCCTTCTTACCTTCTATTGTGTCAAGTCCTGTTCCCCTCCAATGTAAGTAGATTTCTGAGAATAGACGAATAGGAATTGCTCTACAGAACTAGCATTTCTTGCTTTTTATGGGAGTACATCCCTTGAATGTTGGAATACTCAATCAGTAAAATGCACTGAAAGGATTGATGTGTTGGCTTGATATAATTTATGTGCACATGCTAGGAACTTCATCAGATTTTGTTCTGTGTTTATTATGCAACTCATGTAATTCTTGGGACAAAAAAGTCTTCTACTCAGAATTTAGGACTGCACCCAGATGCTAATTCACAAAAGCAACAAATGCAATCACTTTTGCGGGCCAAATGAACTTGTGTGCCCCTAACTAATGTGTGCCCCTAACTAATCTGCAATCATTTTGTACAATTTACCCTCTGATTAATGCCTTAAACATGCAAACATATGAGTATATTGATGCAAGCCACTTGCTTCTTAATCGTTTGAGGAACACTCTTCCCTTCAATGGAATGCTTTCTTTAATCGGTCCTCTTATTTTACTTTTCCCATCTCTGTGCTTTTTTATATATTTTGTTTGTTTCTTCATCTTTCTCTTCCTCATCTCACCCTAGCTGCTAAACAATCTGATGTCTTAGGCATGGTGAAAAGGGGTTCTGGACCCCCAGATGCTGAAGACCCAAAGCCTTCCATTACCCTGCCTAATCCATCCATGGGTGTTGCTAATCCTCTTCCTCTCCAGTGTAAGTAGCAGAGGTAGCTCTTGCCTCTTAAAGTGGCATGTCACAAATTTGCGGAATCCCTCTGACTTTTGGAATGGGCAACTTGCCACAGGACAACTCACCATAGCCAACTTGCTGCGGAACAATTCACCATGGAACAATTCAACAATTCAATTTATTTAAAATAATTTTAAAAATATTTTAATTTGTGTCATTTACATTTAATTTTGTCCCTCCTTTGCCATCCTTTCTTTAATGATTGTATTGCACCATTTCTTCAATATTAATGTAACTCTTGTACTGTGGCAAGTTGTCCCATGACGAGTTGGCCATGGCAAGTTGGCTGTACTGAGTTGTCTTAGACTCCTGGCTTTCCACCTTCCTTTCTTCTAAATAAAGTTCTTGTGCTTAAAGAGGAGTAATTTCCCTCATGCAGTTACCCAAGAAGAGATCAAGAGTGGTTATTCTCTTCAACATTTTGCTGCTAAAAGGAAGGATTCTCCTACCCTCCATTTCTGTTCTGCTGGTTGCACCATTTGTTTTGTTTTCTCATTTTCCCCCTCCCTTCCCTTTTCTCTTCTACTGCCATCCCAGCTGCCAAACTCTGTGATGTGTTAGGCATGGTGAAAAGGGGCTCTGCGCCCCCCGAAAGTGAAGAGCCAAAGACCTCCAGCCCCCTTTCTGGACCACCTTCTATTGTCACCAATCCTCTGTCTCCCTTGTGTAAGTAGGGGAATGTCCCTGGGATTTCACTATTACGATTCCGGCAAATGACATGAGTCCCTTGTGTGTGTGTGTTGCGGGGGTGGGATTCAAACACAGGAACTTGGCTTCCCATTGATAATCCCTTTAAGAAATTATTGTTGATTTTCTATGACTTGTCTTTAATGTAGCTCAGTCCTGCTGAGTTTATCCCTAGTCCCCCACAAGTAGCACAACTCTAATCTTGCAAAACTCTTATTCCAGAGGCTTCCACTGAAAGCTGTAGGTAGCCTCTAGCTTCTGGAGGTTTTTGGCAAGATCAGCTTGCTTTAGAACATGATGGAAACTCAAAAACTGAAAGGAAAGGTGAGGGAAATAACACATTGAACAGGGCTAAAATGTTTCCAAAGAAGCAGAAAGCTTTTCCATTGGAGACTGTTCTCTAGCAAGTATTTGTACCTGGTAAAGTAATTTGTGCTGGAGATGCTCTAATAAATCAGAAGGAAGAGACAGGTTTCCAGCTGGTTCTCAGAATTAGTAATTTATCTTGTGAAATAGGACAACTTTGTTTCAGCCAGAGATCTTCCTAACTCTAAATCAGAGACAAGGAAAAAAAATTAAGTTGGGCTTCCTTTTTATCCATTTATGGTATGGGTAAAAAAATTGCAATTCTGGGAAGCATGCAATAGATGATGATGAACATCAGTAAAAACATAAACAGGCAACCAGAAGCTCATATTCATGTCTCTCTCCAAAAAGGAAACTCCAATCACCCAACCTCAAAGCCCAAGGCTTTGTTTTATTGCCTTTCTGAAGACCCAATGGGCCAGGGCTAGTCATATTTTTGATAGAAGGGCAGAGGTGCCACAATAACAAAGGTGATAACCAGCACCTTGAATTGCACCTGAAGCCCATAAGAAACCAGTTTAGATTGTGAACTAGGGTTGTTACAGGGACAGATATTTTTTCCTAAAATAAGGGAAGGGTCAGGTTAAGACCAGAGCAGGTTCTGACCAGTTCTGGAGATCCGGTAGCGGAAATTTTGAGTAGTTCGGAGAACCGGCAAATACCACGTCTGACTGGCCCATCCCCCTCTATTCTCTGCCTCCCGAGTCCCAACTGATCAGCTGGGTCTTTTTTGGTTGTCCTGCACAGGAGAATGAAGCTGGAAAGCAGGTTAGTGGGGTGGGGAGGGAATGGGGATTTTACAGTATCCTTCCCCTGCCACGCCCACAAGCCACGCCCACAGAACTGGTAGTAGAATAATTTGAATCCCACCATTGGTTAAGACCTGCCTACCTATAAAGTGCTGAGCCTGAATAAATAATTCACATATCATCTTGAAGACTCATTTCCTCACATCATCGATCTGTTTTAATTTGTTTATTTGATGATTACCTCCCTGCCTTCTTTCATCTGTCTTGCACCAGCCTCCAAGTTGTCTGATGTCCTAAGCATGGTGAAAAGGGGCTCTGGAGCCCCAGAAACTGAGGGGCCACAGCCTGCTGTCACCCAGTTTTTCCCATTTCTACCCATTCCTAGTCCACTTCCTTCAGATCGTAAGTAGTGCAAGTGGTCTGTGATAGCCAACGGCTGAGCCCTGCTTGATCTATTCAGACTTGAAAGAACTTTCAGTTCTTGTTGCGACTCTGTAGGTGTGAAATAACAGCCTAACGCTTATTGCCATGTGACTTTGCCTGAATGGTTACAGCTTCACTAGGTTGCTCTAAATGCAAGCTGAGAAGGTGGGATACATGTGCATGACAGGACTGGATTGTGCAGATTGCAGATGGCTTGTGCAAAAGTGATCTTGGCATGAAAGATGTGTTGCGCTTGTATCAAGTACTTAAACCTGGAATGTACTGACAAGTATTCTATGATCAGTAGCTCTAACCATGTGCAGATGTTGAACTTCAGCTCCTTTTAATGCTAGCTGGCATTGGTGAAGAACTTATAGGTTGGATCTACTTGGAAGGGCAGAGGTTGGCCAAAAACATCTGAAGAATTCCATGTTACATCTATGCTCCATGTTTCCATATTAAGTGCAAATGTTGCCTCTGCATTTGGAGCAGCACTAGGTCAATTCCTGTGCCTTTATTCACTACTAGCTGATAACCCGGCATTGCCTGGGTATTTATTTATTCCCAATCCTGTATTAGATAGGAAAATCCTGTAGTTGGGACTCACACTGTTGTACTGTCTCTCGCACAGCATCGCAAGACTTCTATTCCTCTCCTCAGGAGTTTCTTGTCTATGCTGGTGTTTCATTTTTTTTATTGCACTTGGCCAATGGCCTGACGTTTCCTTGGAGGGCTGAGAGGGAGCCCCCTGTGAAGCTGTTACTATGGCAAGTCCACTGTCCTGTACAGTAGAAGCCATTTTAAGACACACATATCCAGAGGGGTGTTACGGGTGTCTTACCTTCACAGTATTTGTTTCCAGAGGGTAAGTCATCATCTGTGTACCAAGTTTGGTTGAAATTGCTCAAGGCAGTCCAGAGTTATGGTGGAACACACACACACACACACACACACACACACACATATATGGCATTCAGCTTTGCATTCAGAAGCCTGATGATGGCAGATGAGATTCTGCCAAAACGTTGCTACAACTTTAAAAGCACAACTACAATGACGTGGGAAAATACCCGAACAAAGCTGAATGCCATACATGTAAGTACCCGCGAAAACTTGAGCCTGTTCTGTTAGAAGACACAGACTTGAGCAATGAGGAAGAGGAGGATTTGGCTCTGAGGTTTGAGCCTGGTTTGCTGGAGGATTTGGAATGTCCTTCCTCCCCAGGACCTTCCTCCCTGGTTGTGCCTCAGGTGTCGGCAGATAATCAGGAGAGCGTAGCGGAGCCTCTGGCTGAGGATCAAACTGAGGAATGTTGGTTTGATGCGAGGCAAAGACGCAGGCATAGGTGTGAGATCCAGCGTAGAAGGAAATGACAAATCAGGGACTGAGATGAGAGACTGACATGCCCCTCAGGGAATAAAAGTGGGTGTGTTAGCTCTGGATTCTCGTCCAGGACAATTTGTTACTTTGGGATAGAAGCTTTGACAAATTCTGTATGTGGCGTTTGTCTGTGATTTATGGTCTTGCTTTATTATCGGACTTGTCAGGCAGCTTGTGGGAGACTGCCAAGGACTTCTCCAGCCAAAGGAATTTAACCCTGTCGTAACTGGTCATGTGTGTGTGTGTGTGTGTGTGTGTGTGTGTGTGTGTATTTCATTCTATTTTCTTTGTCCCTTTGAAAAACAGAATTTTATTTCTTTTTCAACTGCAATACCAACAGCCCAGAAGACATATTATTTATTCTGTAGCCATGGCCTTATTTTTTGAAACCCATGCAACTTCAACTTAGGCAAATTTGGGGACGGTGGGAGGAGACCCAAGATGGCCCCAGTCCAGCAGATGGTTAGCTATGCTAATATTTTAATTCAAAAGCTACCTTTCCTCCAAAGCTCAAAGCAACTTAATGGGGAGGTAGATTGGGATAAAAGGGAATGAGTGGGCCAGCAAGACCGGCTGGGGAATTCTGGAAGTTGAAATCCACAGGCCTTTCCAAGGTTGACACCCCAGCTTTTGAAGTTGACATGACCCTGAATATCCATAGTCCTAAACCCAAACATTAATCATCATCAGATCCCTTTGCCAGCTTTCCAGCAACCCTCCATTCCAATCAATAACTCCAAGACAGACATATCTCAAAGTTACCTTTATTTGGATAGTAACTGTCACATCTGTGGAATCCCAAAACTGAAAGTTCTGAGCTTCCTTGAAAAAGTCAGATCTACAAATCCATCCCCCCTTAGCCATCACTACATCACACGGTCCAATCATTATCCGTCCTGAAGTGAGATTCCCAATTCATTATGCACTACACTCAATGACCTTGAACCAAACAAAAGAATTTTATTTTGTCTAACTAGATATACTCAAATGAATTCCTCCCTCCCACTTTCTCAGGCTCAATTGTGGCAACGTGAGAGCATCGAATCTCAATATGGCTTCCAAAGTTGACACCCTTTGGCTGTTTTAATTTTTGAGATGGATTATGGCCAATACACTACATAGCCTGTGATTACTTTCAAGGGTTAACATGATAATATGTTCTTTAATAGTACATTAATTTTATATTCTTGTTGATATGGTAGTGAGATTTTGCTCATTTTTATTCAGAGGCAAGTCCTCTTGTGCTTAATGTGCTTATTTTCTAGTGTGTAAGATGGAAGCCTTAGTTGCTATCAATTGTGTTTTTGTTATCCTAACTAGTCAAATCTTGTATTTACTCGAATGAGTATTTGACAAATAATACATTGATTTGGCTCCAGCTTTTCAAACAGTATATAGAGTGTAGCATTTTTCTGATTATTTCCTTATCCAAGCACCAGGCGTAGTGTTCATTATCCCTGAGCTCTCATGCAATTCCTGCCCTTGTATTTTAATACATTTTAGATCACAATTATATTAATTGGGGTTTCTAGGTGGCCTCGATTTAAGTGTGCACTGATTGCTTAGTATTTCAGCTAAGAGATTTCAGAATAGTACCAATTTTGCCCACCTTAACTTTTAAATTACTTGGATACAGACATTTGCAGGGATGTCTACAAATACATGGTTTTCCTTTACTGTCCCAGATAAGTGTATTATACACTGCAGCTTAAGTATACAGTATTTTACATAAATCTGCTATCTGATGGAAGAAACTTTAGCTGTTTAATCAGTTAATTGATTCAATATGCATACACTATGACTGGGTCTTCCTCCAGATATTACTATCTGCGGTTTGTATAATTTTGTTAGACAAATAATGATGTCCAATTAATTGATTATTGTGAAATGATTAATCAAAGGCAACTATCTACCTTATGTATGATTGTCCAGCAATTACAAATATACATGCTTGCTCTCACCTATCAACCTGATGAAGTAGACCAACCAACAAAATCAACTCTATGGGAAGATTAGAATTCTGTTGAAATAGGCTACAGCAACACAATCTTCCAAGCCTGATTGTGCTTCTCCTTGCTTCTCTTCTCCCAGTGATTCAGGGAAAGGCCAACTCAAGCTTCTTCTTAATACAGGTAGCCCTTGACTTACAGCAGTTCATTCTTTCTTTTGTGTACACTGAGAGCATTTGCACCAACACAAATTTCTTGTGTGTCCAATCACACTTGGCCAATAAAGAATTCTGTTACTTAGTGTTCAAAGTTACAAATGGCACTGAAAATGTATGTGCCTTATGACCATTTTTCACACTTCCAATCATTGCAGCATCGTCAAGGTCACACAATCCACATTCCAATGTTTGGCAACTGGCATGTCTTTATGATGGTTGCAGTATCCCGTGATCATGTTTTTCAACCTTCTGATAAATGGTCAAAAGAAGGCCAGATTCACTTAACAACTGTATTATTAATTTAACAACTACAGTGATTCACTTAACAATGGAAATGGCAAGAAAGGTCATAAAATGGGGCAAAACTCACTGAATAACTGTTTTGTTTAACAGTAGAAATTTTGGGCTCAGTTGTGGTCATAAGTCAAGGACTACCTGTACTATCTTCCTTCTCCAGGACCGAAGGAATGCTTCTGTCCTTTTTTGCATACAGCATCTGACTGTGGGATTTATGGATACCTTCCTGGCTTTCTACATCACCCAATTAAGTCCAGGGAACCTCAGGCAGGAAGTTGTCTTGTCAGTTTCAATTAGGGCATACAAATTGTTTCATTTGAAAGCCTTTGGATCCTGAGTGGCTGCAAAACTCCCTTATTCAAGCACCAAATGGAGTGGCTGCAAAACTCCCTTATTCAAGCACCAAATGGAGATTCCAAGTGAAAACAAGATCTTGGAAGTTACTTGGAAGTAAAAAATAGAAATGCCATTTTCTTGATTCTCCAAAAATATTTTAGTCCACCTACTGCAACTTCAAAAAATCCTGGGGGGAAAAGAGCCCATGAACTTGTTTATGAGTAGTTTGGGACCTCCAAGTTCGTTGTTTTTAGAAAATGCAGACTTTTAGACTCAGTCACCCAAATATTTAGACCTTCACAGAAGTGGGTCTGAAAGGACTATAGGCTATTTTCTTTGTTGTTCCATCAAGGTTTTATACAGCTGCACCTAGCAGCAGCTGCCATGGAAATGGAAAAGAAGTTTCTTTTTCCCTTTGGAGTTTTGAGTTACAAGGTTGCAGTGTCTGCTGCAGGTTCTCTTTGCCCTGAGCTGCCTTTCTCTGGGCTCAAAAGCTGGGAGTCCCTGACACTGATGTATATTTACTAAGGATGGATGACAGTTTGGCATGTTTGCAGCAGGAGGGAGACTCTGGCACAGCTGAATTGAAACTCCCACAAGTGGTGCTAAAGCTTAGAGAATGCTACCCTTTCAAAGAGGAAGTAGGCATGACCTCCAGGGCCACATGTAAAAATTGGCCTTAGTCTGAAGATGAAAGCAAAGGCAACTTTCCTCCTTTCATAAGTGACCAGAAATATCCTCAGGAAGCAACACTGCACGGATTAAGGTTGAACACTGGCATATACTGAACATGGCTGAATGTGAATTCATTCATCAGTTGATGTGCATTTAAAAGCTTTTAATCTGGGTGGCTTAAGGGCAAAGTGCTCTCATTTCTCTCAGAATGTGTTGGCTTAGAATAAATCCTGTTTGTGTAGAGCTTACTTCCAGATACATGAGCATAGGATTTCAATCTGTAACTTCAGTGCTCTCTCTGTCTCTCTGTCTCTGTCTCTCTCTCTGTCTCTGTCTCTCTCTCACACACACACACACACACACACACACATACACAATGATTAATGAACAATCTGATTGTTTCTTTGTGCAAAATGGGACAGACCAGGAATGAATATTCACTTAATGAAAAAAAGAAAACATTGATAAAGTTCCTTGAGTAAGCCAACTGTAAAAAGAAACCCTGGAAATTTTCTAAAGTAAACAGATGTGTGAAAAGAGAAACATTTGTCCTTCGTTTAGCAGCAGCCTGAGTAGAAATAGTTACACAGATGACTGTGGACTAATCTCTCATATCATTTAGCATTGAGCAATATTTGAGGACAGTTCTTTGCAGAATGGGATTTACTGTTCCATGAAGCTAACCATGGCTCAGATAAGGGCAAGGAAAAGGGTCACTGTTTTCCCCTTACCATTTTTATTCATTTAATTTATCCCAGGAGTCATTCATATGTGATAACTTGTAAGACAAAATTTATCAGTTCTCAGTTTTACTGGAATCATCTGAATCGTATTTTAGTCCTGCTGATATATCAGAAATCAGTCCACATTTGTTCAAGAAAGAATTATTTGGGGGTAATTTCGTGTCTTCTAAGTGAGTTTTCCTGCAATATACAATTTGTTCTCTTAGCCTTGCATTCTTCTTAACAGCAAGAGTGCACACCTGAGAAAAATTGAATATTTAAAACTTAAGAGCATCCAGAAAATTGGTGGAATCAGCTGATGGTAAAATACAGAGTCAGGTACTAATTTGAAACTGCCTTTCTGTTTTTTTCATTTGCATAGCTGATCTCTTTGCTCATAAGCTTAGTTAATTTGAGAAAGGAAAGTTAGCATCTCCCTACAGAAATGGATGGAGTGGGATCCATTGATTCACTTAACAACCACCATAAACATTGTCATATAATTGGGCCTGATTTGACTTACAACTGTAATATTACAATGGACGTCCCAGTCCCAATTGTGGTCATAAGTCAAGGATTATACCTGTAATAAGTATCACTCAGACCCACAATTGGGTCTCTTATTGGATGAGGTTCAGTAGAAGTTCTTACTTGCAAAACATTCTTTTAGATTACTAAGCCTTTCCTTATGGCTTCTGGCCAAGATACAAGCAGAGTTAAGATACAAGCAGAGTTAAGATCTAGAGAAGAAGGGAATTTATTGTTCAGGTAGGGTGGGTTGCTTGCTAACCAACCTTGGGTTTTCAATCCATGTGAAGACAGAAGTCTCGAAATCGCTTAGGCAAGGAGATAACCTAGGCAAGGCCAGTGACACTATCTCTGCCAATAGAGTATTTCATTATTTATAGCACTTGCTTCAATTGAGTCATTTGAGTGCCTTGTAATTCCTGCATCTCCCTGTGTGTGCTGGCTTCAGAGATATGTGGAGATTCAGTCTACATTGTAAGAGGACAATAGATTTCTCTATGGAAAAAGGAATGCCTTAATCTTTAAGGTAAGGGTGGAATCTTCTAATGTGATAGAGGCTGACGATAGGTTATTATTTCCTGTATGATTGCAGTGAAATCAGTTCTGCTCACTCTGGTCCATAAGGTTAGGATTTACTTCTTTTCTATGGTGGAAAGCTAGTTTAGGATGTATTTATATGGTGAAAATATCTGTGCACCTGGTTTTTGAGGGAGTCTTTGTCTTTTAGATTTATGGTCAGTCTTTTCCACATTCTTTTAAGGTGGCATCCAATTCTGAAGGACTGTATCCATACTACTCCTATTAACCCACCTTTTCTCCAAGAAGCTCATCACATGCTACCTTAGTTTAACTCTTATAAGGATTTTGTGCTGCTGTGCAGTCTCTCAACAATTGGTTCATTGTTTTTTAAAGAGCTTCATGGTCACCCAGAATTTTGAACTGCGTTCTCCCTGTTTAACTCCATCACTATTGTTGGTTAGGATCAGAACTGCAGACAGTCACTAGATGGCAGCAAAGATCTAGTATGTTTTCTTTGTCTTTGTTGCCTTCTAGTGATGGTTCAGATATTTGCAGCCAAGTTAGAGTAACATTGTCTTTAAGATCCTAAAGAATAGTAGGAATAGAGCATGTTAAATCAGTGTTTTTCTGCTTTCTGCTTGACAGGAAGGTTGACATGAAAACTCTTGATCATATTGTTAATTTCTCTATCTTTCTTTTTTCTCTGATTCTTTTTTTTATCTAGCCCGCAAACAGGAAATAATCAAGATAACAGAGCAGCTGATAGAGGCTGTGAACAATGGCGATTTTGAGGCCTATGCGTGAGTAGGCTGAGTGTGAAATCTTCCATGGGTCCTGGTCTCACAACTTACTATTTTATATGTATTGCTTTTTAAAAAATATAAATAGTTTCTTTCATTAATACTGGTAGAATTACATTTGTTGCTGTGCTAATTACCATATCCATAATAGGGCAATATCTTTAATAAGTCAACTCCAGCTACACAATATGCAAACTTTTCATTTCAATAGTGATGCTTTTCTATTTTAAAACAATACTGTGTTTTTATATGCAAGTATCCTATTGTCTGTAACATGTCTCCCTGCTTGACTGGGTGGGATGGGCTGATATAATGGGTAGAGGACCCTTCTGCACGTTACCTGGCTCCATGCCATGGATTGTTTTAAAGTACGCCCACAACACCTTGAATTGGATGGGAAGCAAACCAGCACCCAATGCAGCTTGCACAGCAGTGGTGTGACATGCAGTTTTGGGGGCTGCCCAAAATTGCGCACATAACCACTTTATTTGATGCCTGTTGTAATTGCCTTTATCAGCATGGGACTTCTCTTTGACTTTTATTCTACCTAGAAAGCAAGTAGTTTATGCTTGTAAAAGTTCTCTGTTGATGCTTTATGCACAGGGTTAGATGTGCCAGCTCACTTGCATTTTTCTCTGCCTGGCCTGCTAGTAAATTGGATTTCCTAAATTTGACATTTTGGCTGTGGATCAGATTTAACTGGACTCAAATTGAAAAGTTCAGATTGAAATGTCCCTTCCAGCTTTTCTGTTTTTATAATCCTCTGGTTAATTAATAGCTCGTCTATGGTTCTTTTAGCTGCCCATACATCTGATATAGCTTTGTGATACACATTCATTAGCTAATTTCTCAGTTGAAATTAGCCTTAGCCCATTTGTATATGTTTGGGTAGAAAAGGGGAGCAATACAATGTCCCAAATCCTGTTCCTGTGCATTCAGATGCTGTGCAAGTTTTCTGCAAAGTTAGATGCTAAAAACTTAGAAGCTTAAGGGTTATTTTGCCTTCCAAAAGAGCGAAAAAATGAAAAAAACTTAATCTCAAATTTCACATTCTCTTTTTCCCTAGGAAAATATGTGATCCAGGCCTAACTTCGTTTGAGCCTGAAGCACTGGGCAATCTTGTTGAAGGGATGGACTTCCACAGATTTTACTTTGAAAACTGTGAGTAGAGCATTGCATTATATAAAAGTGAGCAATCCAGTGCCTGTGGCCCCAAAACATCCTTGAAATACACGGGTTTCACATTTTTGCCCCCCTTTTTGTTTTGTTTCTGAACAGATTCTGAAGCAAAACTAGAGCCTTGATGGCTTCTAGAAGAGAAAGATACACACCATCCCATAAAAAACAGTCTCTCCACCCAAATTTGTGTTCAACTTTGAAGAGCAAAAGGGTGCCCCAAATTCCTTGCAAAAAACTACACTGAACTGAACTAAATTAAACAAACTAAAAGAGACAACTGTTACCTGGTCTAGTCCTTCCTTTTATCATTGAGGATTTGTCTTCTTTGGTCTCCTCCTTTAGAGCAGCTGCCCAAATTAGATTTCTGCCTGCTCTAGCAGTTCAGTTTTTTTATCTAGGACAGCCTGGAGCCAGCAAATTTTATAATAAAAAGAAAAAAAAAGAAAAAAAAGGAGGGGGGGTCAAAATTCTTTCCCTTAGGGTGTCCTTTCAAGTCTTAAAATAAAGAAAAAGTTCTCACCAAACCGGCACACTCTCTCTTTCCGTTCTCTTTCGTTTTGGAGCTGTCCCAACCTCAGCAGCTTTAATGGCTGCCTCTTTGCCGCTGGCAAAAAGAGCTTCTCCTGGATCTACCAGGGACTTCGCAATATCCCTGGGATCGACAGGATTCGCTCTTTACATTCACCGTCTCTTCGGGATGGTTTAGATTCACTTGGACCGTCCAGGAGCAAAGATATCGGCTGAGATCTCAGATCTCCAAGATCGCAGGCCGTATCGTCGTGACGCCAGCTCCGCCCTCCGGGGGGGGGGATCAAAATTGATAAGCACAAATAGCAACTAGATTAGTCCATCTAAAATCTTACTATAGAGCTTCCGCTGAAGCTTTGATGCTACATAACAGGATTTACAATATTATAGGTGATGTAAAATTTTTTATCCACCAGTAAAAAACCAACTACCTTACCTCACTGAGGCAAAAGTTTTCCTGCTTTTCCTTCCTTCACTTCAAGCCAAGTAGAATCCTAATCATGAGTACCTAATTAAGTCAAACATATCCAGTAAATCCACATCAGCCAGCAAAACCTGATTAAATCCCAATCAAAACAGCTATTTTTATTCCATCTTTATTACTTTTTATAAATAACCCAAGACAGCAAACATACCTAACCCCCACTTCTTCTTCCTATTTTTCTCACAACAATAAGGCTGAGAAGTGGGTGAGGCTGAGAAAGAGTCTGGCCAAAAAGTCTCCCAGCCACTTTCATGCCTAAGGCAGGACTGAAACTCACAGTCTCCTGATTTCTAGCCTGATGCCTTAACCACTAGACCAAACAGGCTTGTGGGTTTGTTTTTTTCCTGAAAGAGAAGGGGCTAAAAATAACTTGCATTTCCTTGCTTCTCCTGCTGTACAGTTTCCTAACCAGTGTCCTGTTTGTGCCCTTCTAGTGTTATCTAAGAACAACAAGCCCATTCACACAACCATCCTGAACCCTCATGTGCATGTCATTGGGGAAGATGCTGCCTGCATTGCCTATATCCGCCTGACACAGTACATTGATGGGCAGGGCCGTCCTCGTACTTGCCAGTCTGAAGAGACCCGTGTCTGGCACCGTCGGGATGGCAAATGGCAGAATGTCCACTTCCACTGCTCGGGAGCTCCGGTGGCCCCACTCCAGTGAAGGTACGAAGATAGCAAATGGGTAGCTAAATTCCATTTCTGGGAACAATCAACTGAGGTGTTAGTGTTGGTCGGTATGGAGCACATGCTTGTGTTGGATTTGAGAGAGAATGGATCCATGCAAGATCCAATTGGGAGCCATTTTTCTGGTATGTGAAGCCCTTTTATAGACGGGTATGCAAATAGCAATAGCAATAGCACTTAGACTTATATACCGCTTTGTAGTGCTTTACAGCCCTCTCTAAGCTGTTTACAGAGCTAGCCTATTGCCCCCAACAATTTGGGTCCTCATTTTACCCACCTCGGAACGATGGAAGGCTGAGTCAGCCTTGAGCCTGGTGAGATTTGATCTGCCAAATTGCAGGCAGCTGGCTGCAACAGAAATAGCCTGCAATACTGCACTCTAACCACTGCACCACCGAGGCTCTCTCATGTTAGAATATTCCATTCTAACCTCAAAATTAACTCAGCCACTCCAAAGTATTAGGCTGAATGTGCATGATCCTCTGACTTTGCTTCTGGTAGGCTTGCAGCTTTCCCCTGGTTTTTTTCCAGTTTATTTAATCAACTAAGAGTGGGCGACTCTGGCTTTCAAGAATGTATATGCATGCAATCACTCTGCTTAAATGAAGCTGAAAGAATCATTAAAAAAGGACTATTGTATCATTATTTAGTTTTGAAGCAGAGTTTCAAGCTCTGGCAAACTTCTAGAAAAGAACTAAGTGCTTGAAGAAGGAGAAAAAGGAGTGGCAGTGGTGTTCTTCTAACATAGCCAGTGAGCAGGTGCCTATTGCAAGAGAGATGAAACATGACTTCTAATCAGTTACAACCAGAATTGGGGCCAGAATTTCCATTTATAACAAACTGGTTATCAAGAGAGGCATGCCTGATTTTATGACCATTTTTACCATGGTTGTTATATGATTGGCTGCAGTCGTTAAGGGAATAATGTGGCCTTTAAGCCTAGCTGACTTCCTTGTAGAGTTTGTTTGTTAGAAGCCGGCTGGGAAAATCACAAATTGTGACCTCAGGACACTGGAGCCATCGTAAATACATGCCAGTGGCCAATTTTGATCACATGGTCATGTGGATGCTGAGAAAATTGTGAGGACTGGCCATAAGTCACTTTCTCAGTGCCATTGTAACTTGGAAGAGTTGCTAAATGGATTGCTGTAAGTCAAGGACTTCCTCTATTAAGTGTTAGGTGATCCAACTTTTACAGTAAAAGAGGTTTCTTTTGAATTTGATTTTAATCAGGAAATAGTTAGATGTGTCTACAATTCCACTAATGTCCAGGCTCAGAGCTGAAACTGAGTTATGCATAACAGCCTCAGGATTGTGAAAAACAGGGACCAGATCTCTGCATTGTGTGTGGCTGCCTGCTTTGTGGGCAGAATGGGAAAACTCACTGTGGCCAACTCACTGCGGGACAACTCAACAATTCATTTTAAGTATTTAAAATTGTTTTAAAATTATTTTCATTCACATTTTCTTTTTCATCCTTTATTTAATGATTCTATTCCACCATTTCTTCGATATTAGTGTAAGTCTTGTCCTGCGATGAGTTAATCCCACAGTGATCTGGCTGTGGCAAGCTGTCCCACAGCAAGTTAGCAGGGGAGAGTTGTCCCAGACCCTCTCCTGGGTTCTTAAGCTGTTCCTCACGATGTCTCCGTTTCTGCTTGTCTTTCAGAATTCATGCTGGCTGTTCTGATTTCATCCCAAAGGAGATGGTGATTTCAGCTGAGCCACTAGCCGGGAGCAGCAGTGACAAGCACGCGCCCGCATGCTCGTGTCCCCCCGTTCCCTCTCCTTCCCCTCTTTCATTTCCAGTGCCTGTGTTTGCAAAGAGAGAAAGCGAGAGAGACAGAGAGAGACAGAGAAACACCTAAGAAAAACAAAAATCCAAGTAGACTCAATTGTTTTTAAAAAGAAGAAAAAGAAGAAGCAAACCCAGCCAAATCCATCCAGCTGTCTGACTTGCAGCCCGACTATAATGCACTCACCAATCCCTATCAGTTCCATTTTTCTTTTTTTCCTTTTGGTGTGCAGCTGTTCAGGTGACCAGATGTTGCAGTGAAAAATGTCTCAACTTCAAAAAAACAAAACAAAAAACAAAGATCCCATCTCCTCCCTGTATCCATCCCAGTGTTGAACAGTGTTCGTTTGCTTAGTGAATACACACTTACACACACACACACACACACACACACACACACATTTAATTTACCAGATCTTGGTTCAGCGGGCTTCAGATGCAGTGGACAAAATCTGTCTGTGCACTTTTTTGCATCTGCTCCTTGGCTGTTTTGACACACGTGTAAAATATACATTTGCCATTTTACACATGTATTTAAAAAACATTGCATTTTGCAATTTTTTTAGATGTGGTGGACATCCCTTCCCCCATGAGTTTGTTAAATCCAGGATCTACTGTAAATATATATACATATAATGCGTGTGTGTTTGTGTGCATGTGTGCATGCACAAACACATACACATAGCCAAACACAGAGCCCCCTTTTATAGTATTTGCATTCTCTGCCAAAAGTTCGGGCCTTTTCCTCTGGTTATTGTGTTCGCGCTTGGAAGTTTGTGATCAGTGCTACCATTTTGTTTTGAAGAAGACCCCGCCCCTCCAAGCCCCTTCATTTCCTTTCTTCTCTAGCTGTAGTTGTGCGTTATGATGATGCTAATTATTCAACCTCTTCATTTGTTTGTTTCCTTTGAATAGAGGGAGGGGGATCCTATTGGTGGTGGAGGAGTTTTGCTTTTCGGGCTCCTCCCAGGCTATCACCACTGCCAATGATTTTCTGGTAGGCTCATGACTGCATCCATTCTGATAGGTCTGTAGATGACGCATAGCACCGCCTTGGAGTTACATATAGGCCTCACTGCAGACTTTTGGATACCTGCATTCTCGTAGCACTTAACATTCTACTAGTATCTTGATCCTGATCTCTCAACAAGGGCTACTAACACTGGAGTTGTACTTGTGTCCCTACTGTAGTTTATTATGAAGGTGGGGACTGCCCTTGCTTAGTGGGATTGGTTGGAACGTTGTAATGTTGCTTCAAAGAGCTAGCGAGAAAAGAGTCAATAGTGCTAAATCTCAGCCTTATCTAGTGCTGGGAAGCTAACTATCTGTCCAGCAGAACGAGGAAGAGATGCTTTCTTACACTCTGTAAATGCTCAGCCCCCCCCCTTTTCTCATCCCTCTTTACCCGTGTTGACGTAAAAGGAATAGAAAGTGACTATTTTGGGGTGGGGGTGCTTGAAGTTCTTAACAGCCTAGAAGAAAGAAAGCTGGTCAACATAAAGTTGCATAGGCCATTCATTCACCTCCATTCTCTCTCTCTCTCTCTCTCTCTCTCTCTCTCTCTCTCTCTCTCTCTCCCCTCTCTCTCTTCCCTCTGTGAATTTACCTGCAAAGAGAGCTGGGTAACAGCAAACTTTGAGAAAATTGCTCTTCAGGGAGCTCTAGATTCTGGAACTGACTCAACAGGTGGCCCCAAATAAGCAAAACCAAAGGAGGCAATTCTCCCCATGGACCAAGTTGTAACAGAATGCAATGGAAGGTGGCGTTGTAGGGTCTTTTGTTGGCCGAGGCTGGTGTGAATGATGTCAGATGCTGTGGAGCACTTGCTTCAGCTGCCCCAGGTCCCAGTGGAAGGTGTCAACCGTTGTCTTCTGCTCGCTACATTTTCATGCCAGGAGGCTCATATTGGCCGTAACAGATGTACAGTGTGGCATCTGCCAGAATGTATTGATAAGAAAGCTGTTTTCTTCTAATGGACTTTCCCCTCCCTCCATCTTTAAATATTCACAAAGGAGATACCTTCTTCCTCCCCAGTGGCTTACTCAGCATTCCACAGCTTCAACTGTGGTTCCCCTTGTATTCAGAGGTTAATTAGGTCCTTGTGACTACAGAGGGGGAGGCTGAAGTACTTTGCTACAATGTACAGGGCATAAAGTTCTATTTTGCCAAGTGGAAATTCACATTGTTGATTCCTGCCAGGAAAGATTTCAAGGCAAAGTTTAATGAGGTGGTTGCTTTGAAGAGATTTTTCTAGTAATCTCTCTAGAGATGGAGACACAGAAAAGTGGCATAAGTTGATTTCAGTGAGCTTTGCTTCCAAGATGGTATGTGAAGGTGTATGAGTTGCACCCACGGCATCAGTTTAAATGAGAAATCAAGTAGGTTGATGTCAAGAACTCCAGACTTAGAACTGGGTGATGAATTTGGGTCTTTTGAAATCCTATTTTTCTTACCCATTTAAAGCTTGGAGGTGGTTTGGCCAGTCACATGTACTTCTTGTTAACACTCTTGTTTTGTAGCTTGCTTCCAATCATCCTGTTGTTTATTTAAATGGCAGATTCTAGGTGACTCCAGGGATGATAAGAGGTCATAGGAAGGCAGATCCCATGTTGCAAATTTCTCCTTCAACTTTTGGATAGTTAGATGTATCTGAAATACTTGCCCAAAAAGATGCTGAGAAGAATTCTTCCTATATGCTTTAGAAGCTAATAAAGTCTCTGCTGTGTGTTTCTCTTACCTCACCTGTGCCCTTCTGTGGGCTTTACATTATCTCTGAGTGGTGGATGTTCCCATGTCTGTAATAAAGGTGATTTCCCCGAACTTAGGGGAGTTTAGTTAGTTTTCATATATTCCAACAGTACTCAGAAAATTTGCATGCAGAAAATACAGTTGTTTCTAACTTATTTTTATTCCAGAGATAGAATTTATGGAGAAAGCCAGATCTTCAACTTTTTATAAATTAGAAATTACATAACAAACATTAGTTTACTATATTAAAACAGGACTGGCAAACAAGATCTGTCAGGAATGGAAAGAGTGTTAGCCACTAGACTGCACTGCCTTCCTTCCCTGTTCATATGAAAGCAAAGTAAATGTTCCTAGGTCTCAAGGGTTTTCCTCTCTCTATAATTACAGTTTTTGCCTTCGGAGGAACATCTGTCACCAAAACAAAGGTGTTGATTTCCTAGGACTGTTGATTGCAGAGCAAGATTGTTGAAGGTTGCACAGGAAATCCACTGTAACTGATGTGAGCTAAGAATAAATGGGAAGGCAAGGCCACTTTTGGAATGAAAGGTTGAAGTGTTATTTTGCATAACACAAAAAATTTACAGTTTAGAGGCTAAAAATCCCCAGAGACTTTTTTTAATTAGATAAAAACTATTTTTGCAGTGTCTCAATCAAATGCATCACCGCTTGAATTCCCCAAGTATCCATTACTTTACTATTTAATGCAAATAGAATTAATTTAGCATTTCAGTCTGATGTAAATAATGCAAAATTTCAATCCCAGTATTGTTCTTAGACCTCACCTAGTCTGTCGTGATAGAGAAGAGTGAATGTAACCAATTTCAAATGCATTTCTTTTTTTTTTCTAATCTAAAGTTTGCTATCTCATCTTTCCCCATGTCAGCTCATGATTTTTCCCCTAAAATTTTTGTGCATGGTTTTAAATATATTTTCCTTTAGATACAAATGAGAGGTAAATGATAAGTTAGCTCTTGGACAGTTGATTTAAATTGAAAGCCACTTTATAAACCCTTTATCTAGGCACAAGCCATACAAAGTTTTCTTAGCTAGATTTATTGTAAGGAACAATACAAAGTTACAAGGATTTCAGCAATTAAATATTAAATACAGGAGCCCATTTATCTTCCAAGTCATGCTAGAAAATTTTGATATCTTTTCTTCTAATCCTCTGGTTCTCAGTATTTGTAGCACAACTATAGCCACTCAAATGTTCAACATATTTATGTGCCTTCTCAGTGAATAAGGTATCTCATTGGGATTAAGGTCAGACAAGAATAAACAAGTAATTTTTCACAATTAACATTTAACTTAAATAAAACCACAGAACTATACGTAGGTTGTAAAATAAAATGAATAAAATTATTGAATGTCACTCATATAATCATTTATATAGACATACCAGATGTGGCTATAATGCTACCTAGCATACTAGCAGAGATAACAGAGAGCCGTATTTCTAGGGAAACTGAACTAAATAAATGGCCAAAATCAAGTAATAATTAGCCAGATGATCAATAGTTTTATTTATGCTCTGCAGAAATTAAGAGTTTTGTTCATTTCAGCTGAAACAGAGACAATACTTTGTTTTAATCAAAATGAATTATAAACCCTTTCTATTGTTGACCCACTGATGGATTGCAATGTTTAAATGATTGGTAAAATAACTCTACATTACAAAAAATATTTTGAAAATAGCATTCTGTGATTTATACAACTTTTAAATTAAATAATACAACATTGCTGATGGTTTATAAATCCCATATGCCACCACAAGTAGAAAAGCAATTATGTAAGGTGGGTGCTCAACTACTATGCGTGAGAAGCATTAAAAAAAACCTGGGGGATTACAATAAGATCTGTGAAGTCCTTATCCTTATTGTTGCATTTTAGTGTGCATTTCTTAAACTACAAACTCATGCAAAAATTCAGAAACTTGTCTTGGTCTCACGGAAGCACCCTTGCTTCTAGAACATGTGATCAGAGGGCAGCAAAGTTGTATGAAAACCTTGTGTAATTTTCATCAAAGTCAAATACAACCTTTCTGAATCTTAAAGACATCATATATTACAAATTCCAAATTTCCCAGCAAACACATCCAATAGCCTTCACCTGAGAATGCTATGAGTTGCAGTCTAAGGAAACTGGCAGACAACAGGTAAGGGAAGACTGGCCCTGCTATTCAGAAGGGAGTTCACTTATGTGGGTCACTAATGTATCCTACCAGTTTAAAGAATTGAGCTGTCAACTGTCCCACTGGCACCATGCAGCAAAAGAAACTCCTGGGACATTATTTTACCAAGTGAATAAATTTATTAATAGATCCATATAGACACAGTAGAAAGCAAAACCAGTTTTGACTTTGTGCATGAAAACCTGCCTAGTTAAAATGGTCTTTTCACCCCCTGGGCCACCCATTCTCCCGTGTTGTCCAATTCAGTGCAATCTCTTGGGAAATAGTCTGCTTAGCTCAAAAGGCTCTCATCATTTGACCTTGAGGTGTCAAAATTCCCCCAGGTCATGGACAGTGCACACCTCAATTCCCTCCCAGCCACCCATAGATTCCAATCATTCCTTCTTCCTCCCTAGGTTTATGTTGCATGGCTGCAAGTGAAAGTGCAATTATATGAATTATATGAAAGCAGAATTATATATAATATAATTAGATATATTACAATTTAAGTCTTCACAAAAACAAAAATGTGTCTCATGAGCCAGGTTGTAGTAGTCTCAAAAAAAAAAAAATCAAACCAATTGATTTTTAAAATTGATGCTGATGGAGAACAAAAATTGAATTGATGACTGGACCCAAGTTTTACTATTGGCAATTCCAGTATTTATATTTATAAAAAAGGTGATCTCATCACATCTTGTATGTAATCAAGCATATGCAAATTTATCATGCTAGTCTTGCCAACATTTAATTCTGCAAAGTTTAACAATACTTGGCTCTTGTCCAAGTGATAAACCATTAATAAAGGAAGTCAAATGAGCAGCCAGCTTATTTGCAGGTCTTGCTTCTGACTATCCCTTCAATCTGTGGTAACTAAGATTCATAACATCAGAAGAACATGTTTAGAGAGGGGATGGCCACTGCTGTTAGGATGGGAATAAAAAAGATGACAAGTTGCATTTAGTCACAAAATAACACCAACTACTGTAGTTTTTCCCCTAATCGCCAATCACACTTTCTGAAAGACCACCCATACTTCAGTTTGCAACCAGTGTTATACAAGCCACCTAATTGCTAAAATTGAGCAAAAATGAGATGAGAAGGCCATGCGACCATAGAGCTTATGAAAAAAAAAAAGAGTCTTATACATGAGACCAGTTGCAAATGTCCTGGTGGACGTGTGCTTGCCCGACCCCCAACTTATCTGTTATGGTGGCTGGCAAGAGATCTAGAACTCTTGCTGAACAGTTACGCCAGCAGTGAATGACAGGAATATTGTTAATTCTAAGGAAGCCATCCCTAACCACCCCATTCCCAAGTACTTCAGATTAAACCTACTTTGTGCCTACCTACCTTGCCTTGCTTTTATCCTATTACAAGTGTACTACTCTTATATTTTTGGTAGTCTCATATATGAAACTGATGGGTTTCATTGCTTAAATTGCTTTGTGCTTTGTGGGAGAAACTTGTCTGAATCTAAAAAAAAAAAGACTCATTGTATTTCAGTCGGCTCCCAGTACAAGAAACACAACTTTGCATGATCTGATGCTTTGGGGATTCAGTATCTTAAAGCTAGATTGATTGCATGTACTTGGCAAGAACAGTCAAAAATAGACTGCAAATACATTAAGAGTATGAGCATACCGAGGACAATGTGCCATTGTAACTATGACTTCAGTTGAGATTTGGAAGGTACTAGAGATGCCAAACTACCTCCCAGAGAGAGTTATGTGCTTGATCAGAAATTTGTACCTGTTGGGCTAAAGAACACAAATTGGCAATATTTTTGAGCAAAAAAAGGTTTGTTTTTCTGGAGAGTGATAGTTGCTGTCAGAAAGCTGAATTTTAAGAGAATGGACTAAGGGATTAGCTGAGCTGGGATGGTGTGATGTAGTGTCCTTAACAAGTGGCATGATTATTGCTATTCCCTGTGCATGTTCTAAGGGAGTTGCTTCTGGTGTCATTTCTGTGGTGTCCCATCTAATTTTGTTACTATGGTGCCCCAGTTCTTTGCCCCACGATGATACTGCTTTCTAGTATGACTAATGTGATGGCTTGCTTGTCTTGTCATCCTACTATGGCTGGTATGCAAAAATGATAATACAAATTTCAGTGTTGTGTATTGGCTGCCTACAAGCAGGGTAATCCACATCCCAGGGACACAACAGAAGAAGCTCTAGGGCCCGGTGATCATTTTATAGTGTGATGGAAAGGACCAATGAGAAGAAAACACAAGAGTATTGAATTGCATACCTGTTTTTTAGACATTCCTATGCAAATTCACATCCTTGAACATCTTAAAGCAATCCATATGGTTGAAAGTTTTAGCAACTGGAGCTCATGATGAACTATTGAAATAGAAGACTTGGTTCCTGTTTGGGTTGACAACAAGCATCTTAATTCCATGGAGATGCTGCACCATGGTGGACATGATAGATTTTAAGTGACTCTTTCACTTGAAAATAGGGGGGGAAGCATTTGGGCAAGCATTATTTTGTGCCTTATGGCTAGACTGTAGTTCAGTGGTTTAGACTATGTTCAGGCAGATCTCACCTGTCTTTGCACTTTAGTTGTTTCTTCCATCTAAAACTGCTCCTGTAGCACTGACAGCTGCTTAAGATCCATAGTTTCCCCGCTGGTTACAATAACCAAGGGCTCGGTTGCTCCTTGCAGTTGATAGTGGAAAAAGAAGCCTCTCTCAATCTCTCTTGATAGGGTCTTGAATTTTTGAGGCAAGCCTGAGGCCATCGACTCATTCCACCGTTAAGCGTGAGCAACTTGAGAAGAGGAAGGAAGCGCAGTTGTACGATTGTGCAAACCTGGCAGTTGGAGGCCTTTTAGCATGGAGATGTTTCGTAGCATTCAGGTGCAGCCTTAGTCCAGGTTCTCCTTGTAGATCATCCCCATCATCTCAATGCAGTATTTTGCATGGCTAATGAATGTAAAAGATAATTGGACCAAGAGAGAACGATGGAACAGGGGAGGGAGGGGGGAGGGAGGTGTGAGCAGGCATTGGGGGGGAATGTCCCACCAGCACTGATAATAGCGTTGAAAGCACTTTATATTGAGAGATTAAATCTCTTAACAACTGCCCAGTCCTGAGATTGGGCTTTGCACTGCACCACCGTAATGGCTGGAGTGGCATTCAGCGGAGCACAGGAGTGCAAGAAGACTTAAATCTTGCTCCTTTTTCTAGATGAAGCTCAAGAGGGGGCCTTGTATTGTTTCCCTCCCCAACACAGTTGTGTCCTGTGAGCATGCTGAAGAACAGGAGGCAGGCTGCTTGCTGGGATTTAGGTCAAATATCGTTTTTCCCCCTCCATACACAAGACACCCGCACCGACACTCACAGCTAAAGTGGGGCTGTGATCCCATCAACCCCCTGCACGCGCACATACATGGGGAAGAAGTGCTTCCAAGACAGGATTGTCCAGGGAGGAGACAGTGTTTAGAGCCAGTCGTTTCCAGCTGTTTTGCCTTTGCACCCTTGCGTTTAAACTTTTTTTTTTTTTTGGCATTTCTTTTTTCAAGGGGAGGAGTTGGAAATGGGGGAGGTGGGTATTCGAATAAACATGCAAAAAGGGAGATTTCACAGTGGGGGGGCATAATATAATATGCTTGTATGGTTTCTGTGGAAGACTAACTTGAGAAGTGTCTCTACATCCATGTATATGAAAAAACTTACAAGCCGCATGTTGAAACAGGTGTTTCATTATTAAACATTAATGTACCAGGGTTGCCTCCCCTTTGATGTTCACCTTGTTTACTGTGGAATTCAGTACATTGCTGGGGGTATTTTTAGACTGGGGGAGGG